CGATCATTGGTCCGCTCGAAACTTGATTATGGCTGCCTCGTATATGGTGGAGCCTGCAAAAGCAACCTCAAACTACTTGATTCCGTCCACCACCAACCTCTCCTGTTGACAGTCTCTATGTCGAGGCAGATGAGCCTTCTCTCACACACACAGCCGTATAAAATTATCACTACAGTATATAGTAAAACTCTATTCTAACGAGTCTAATCCTGCATTTAACTGTGTTTTTAATCCCCTCTATGAGGATTTGTACAACAAAAAATCTTCTCTTGTTCCGCCTCTTGGGCACAGAATTAAACCATTCATTTCTGCTGCCGGCATTGAGCTGGAAAATATAGCTCCTTCCCGTCTTCTTTCTTGTCCTCCTTGGCAACTGGTGAGGCCTGAAGTTGATCTCACACTGACAAAGTATAAGAAATCAGACACTAATGAATTACAATATAAACAGGAATATAATCAAATAAAAAAAATAGATATGATACATACAAATCCTTATTTACAGATGGGTCCAAGGATGGTGGCGCGGTGGCATGTGCCACTGTCATTGGATCCAGAACAATATCTTCTCGACTACCAAATAACAGCTCTATTTTCACAGCAGAAGCTAACGCCATCTTAACAGCTCTTAAATATATTTATAAACACCGTAAATGTAAACAATACATAATCTTTTCCGATTCTCTTTCGTGACTTCAGGCTATTGAAAATCTTTCTTGTAAACATCCACCTTTAATTGAAATTATTGAATTGTACAATGATCTGGCTACTGGCCAATGCGATATCGTCCTTTGTTGGTTACCGAGCCATGTTGGCATTTCTGGGAACACAATGGCCGATCTTACTGCCACGGCAGCAATCAACAAATCTGTGACACCACTTCTTATTCCATATTCTGACTACAAAGCTAGCATTAGAACCTACACCCGTGATCTGATGCAAAAGAAGTGGGACACCCAAGTAGGTATTAACAAATTACATGAAATAAAACCCTATATCGGTTACACTTACTTGGGTTGTCAGTCCAGATTTGAAGAGGTCATCATACGACGATGTCGTATTGGCCACATACGATTTACTCATGCATACCTATTGAAAGGTGAGGATCCTCCGTTTTGTATCCCTTGTGATGAGAGAACCACGGTCAAGCATGTCCTGCTTGACTGTGTTGAATTCTCCATCATAAGGGATAAATATTTCAATATCAAAACAGCAAAGGACCTTATTAATATAGTTAATTATCATTTAATCATTGATATTTTAAAAGAGATAGACTTGTTAAATGAATGAATTTTGATATATGTTTTGTAAATAGATAAGGTTTTGTAATTGGTAGTTCAGATTTTCAACTTAAATTGTTAGTGGCTGTAGCCTCAAAGGGGCTGAAGTAGCATAAAATTATTGTCCTCCTGAGAGGATACGTAAGTCCCAAAATCTTTCAAAGTAAAATTTTCACGTACCAAGTTTTTAAACGTAGTCATTTTGTTCTTTTAAATTTCGGCTAAACTATCCTGCAATCGCCAGCAGCTGAAGGGATGGTGTAAATCCAGCTAGTCTCCATGCAGGTAGCAAAAGTAATGTAAGTCCCCATGGTTCCTAGTATGGTGATCTACCTTCAGTTGTTGGCGATCTATAGCCTGTTTTATATTGTATTGTCCAACTCGTGCTATTAGTTTTAACTTTCCACGCTAGTTTTAATTCTAATTGTGATATTCTAGTTGTTTTACTGTCCTTCGTGGACAGGTTTCTATTATATGAATATTCCATTTCAATGTCAAATATGTTCTCGTCACGATATGGCTGCAATATTGGCGATGTGACGTTAAATAATAACTCACTCACTCTGAATTTCATCCCAAAGATGTTCAATTGGGTTTAAATCAGGACTAAGGGCTGGCCACTGCATAATGTTGACACCGTTCTGCTGTAGGAAGTCCTGTGTAGCTCTGGCAGTATGGGCCCGGGCGTTATCATGCTGGAAAATGTTGTTCCGGTGACGTGCGAAATGTGGTATGACGTGGGGTCTGAGAGCTTGGTCGATGTAACGCACCGCTGTGATGATGCCTCCTCTCCCTGGACCAAGGTTCTGGAACACCACAGGACCCACTCTCTGGTTCAGGCCTGTTCCACCCCATACCGTGATGCTTGCACCTCCCCATGCGTCTCTTTCCATAACACATTGGTCTGAGTAACACTGGCCACGTCGTCGCTATATTCTTGTTCTGTCATCTGCAGTTGATATGCAGTACCGACTCTCATCTGTGAACAGAACAGTTTTCCATTGCCTGTATCGCCAGGTTTGTTGTTGTAGGGCAAACTTTAGACGTTCACGCCGATGACGAGGGGTGAGGATAGGTCAACGGTAAGGTCTGCGGCAATGGAGGTTCCCGCTGTTAAGACGTCGGCGTACTGTATCAGTACTGATTGGTCTTCCGTGTGTTCCCACTGTCTGGCGTGCTGTTTCGGATGCCTGCATGAAGGGATTGTGTACATGTCGCACAACATGGTGGTCTTGTTGTCTTGTGGTCACCCCCTTGGTCTGCAAGTACGAGGCGATCATTTGTGGTGTTGGTGGCCCGGAAACGTTGCTGTAGCCTGTAGATGGTCCGAACGTTGACTTGGAAGTGATTGGCAGCGGCTTGTGCAGTGTGGCCAGCTTCAAGTCTTCCTAGCGCCTGGTTCCTCTGAGCTGTCGTGAGTCGCGGCATCCTGCTGACGTTGTAATGTGAATGTTTGAACCAGGTTTGGTGGTGCATTTTATAGGGCTGGTCATTGTGAACAGCACGTGCAGCATGAGTTGCTTTTAAAACATGGAGAACACCGTACCACCTCCGAGATCAGGTTGCGTTTTTAGACCATTTCCTGGGTTCTATTCTGAGTTTGGGAAAGAATGTCTTTGCTCAGGTAAAGTTGGAGATGTTGTCAAAAATATACAATCGAAACATGAAATGTGTTTACAGTTATCCGTTTCTGCGAAGGAATATTCCAAACTGACCTTTCTTTTGCTGCTTAGTATAGTTTCTCAGATAGGGGTTAAAATGAAGTGTACCGATACTTTCTCTCCGTGTGTGAAAAACGGTGTAGTTGTTTATATCTCTCAGTAAAATCAATCCTTACGTGACTATGTTAATAAAACGCATATGTTTTAGCAGTGGTAGAACCCTATATACGTCAATGTTGAATACATGAACAAATTCGCCAATATCTACATATATGGCAGACAATTTTCGGTTATCCAGAAAAACCAATGTGTCATTTCGCTATTAACGGAAAGAGGTAACTGAGCATAACATAAATTGAAAGTTAATCCAGGATTTTGAGTAGCCCCATCCCCCTCCTCTCCAGCTCCGCCCTTGCTTAGACGGTCTGAAGTATGTGGTGTATTGATCATTGAGCTAAGTATGAAAGCTAGTTCACGGACCATCAACAAACTCTGCATTAATGTATGAATAACCAACGTGTGGGAGAGACTTACCACGTTTCATGTTCCTCTCACCGCCGTGAGCGATATCGTGTTCTAGTATGGTGGATGTTATGTCTGACACGCTAATGCTTGTGATTCAGAAACTGAAACCGAGTACGTTTTCAACTTATTGAAATGTTCATACTATACTTATACCACTATAAATGTTCATACTCATGAAAAGTTTAGACTCACTAATGTAAACATAGCCACTTACTTGAGGCAACTGTTTTAAACTAAACTTTGCAAAATATTCCATGCTGTTTAAAAGTATTCTTTACACATGAACTGATTGTTAAACAAATTCTATAACGTTGAAAAGATTATTGTCAACAGTTGAATAAATGACGGAAATCAGTAACAATTGGCGAATTCTTAACAAAACTTTACACCACAACGCATCTGTTCACATGCATGACATTTGCACATGCTTTTCATCAATTTGATGCATGATCCCCGTGCAATACATCTGCATAAAGTTTGCAGTTGGTTCCCCAAGTTAGTGGATAAATCAGTCTTCGATGTAACCATATTATATATACCTTCACTTAACTTTGCTCAGTTATGGACATCCAGTAACATATGTTTCGTCGATGTCAAAAATGTTTGTCAAATTGGTTTACTGTTCTACCTTGCTATAATAGTCATATTCGTAATATTTTGTTCTTATGTGTTCTGGGCCATACGGTGAGTGAGTGAGTTTTCTTTTACTCAATATCCCAGCTACCGAGCGAACAACCTTATGCTTTCGTGGTTACAACGTTATTCTGTGGACTCCTTTGACGTTGTCACAACGTTGTGACGTGACGCTGCACAGTGACGTGATAGTAACGTTGTCAGTGAGTATGGAAATTACGTTACTGTGAAGTCAGAATATTCATGGGATGGTAATCACAAAATGTAATATGATAGGTAAATAATGCACTACGTTTTCTGCAGAAATTACGAATAATTCGATGTCACTCTTGTTTTCCTGAAAGAGACAGTTCACGTCGCGTGAACGTTGTGACATAACGCTATAAACATGACGTTACCAAGCTACAACCTTCTCACAACATTCTGAAGACGCTGTGTGTTACTGGGTATGTGGTGGTGGTGGTTTGTAAATATTCGAGTCTGGACCAGACAATCCAGTGATCAACAACATGAGCATCGATCTACGAAATTAAAATACTATAACATGTGTCAACCAAGTCAGTGAGCCTGACCACCCGATCCCGTTAGTAACCTCTAAAGACCAGAATGGGTTACTGAACATTAATTCTAACCCGGATCTTCACGGGTGTGGGCCATAAAAGAGAGTTTCTAAACACCGAGGGCGACAAATATGAGCGCAACAACATATTATATGTTGTATAATTGCGAAGAGAATGACATTTCGATGAACATTTCCAAATCACTCCATTCCACACGTATGTTTGTATGTACGATGTATGTTCTTGTATGTGTCTGTATGACATTGTGTTTAAGTATATGCGTATATACATGTTTATATTGTATATATATAATATGAAATAAAATAAAAATCAATGCCATATGATAACAGTGGTGACAATTTACAGTTTTATTTTCGTCGGGTGATTAAGTTAACAAGAGGAACTCAGAAGTGTCTGAGCTTAATTAGCATATTCCATGATCACAAACAAATGCATAATGTCGACAAAACCCTAACTCATCGCGTGAAAAACCCTGAAAACACGAAAAGCAAACTAATTACCTAACAAATATCTGAGATTCAGGTATTAAAACGAAGGATAAGCACACGCCCCTAACTGGAATGCATGAGGAATTTATATGCTGAACAAACTAATCCCATTGTCGCAGGAAGCCAAAGTTACCTAACACGTTTAACGGTGAACGAGCTTTTACAAACATAGGCCATAACATAGTAAAATCCAAGAATACAACGCAAGAGAAGAAAATTGACAAATTATAAACATGAAGGCAACTGAAAGCACCACAGAGGACGGTAGTCCACCGGCCGATCACCAAACAGAGATTAATGATTTCGGCAAACCAGAGTTAACGCCTCGCGTACTTTCAAAGTGATGTATCGGTATTTGAGTAATTAGTATCTTCCATTGCTACTCTAGGTCTTCAGTTGGTGATATATACGTGACTACAGTTATCGGATCATCAACAAACATATCCCTCATCAAGCGAGTGTATGAATGGGAACCACTCGTTGAACTAGGTGATGTGTCACCACCATTGTTGTCTTCTGTGTCCTGGGACCCGGGAAAGTAATCAGCCCACACAGGTAGTACAGGAATACCATCATCACATTCACTGTCATGTGGCCCAGGAAAGAAGTCGGCCAAAGCAGGAAGTGCAGGGTCACTGTTGACTTCTTCCTCTACCGGTCCTTGTTGTTGTCTTTGCTGCTGAGATACTTCCTCGTAATCTTCTTCCACTGCCGGTCCTTGTTGTTGTCCATGCTGTTGAGATACTTCCTCGTAATCTTCTTCCACTGCCGGTCCTTGTTGTTGTCCTTGCTGCTGAGATACTTCCTCGTAATCTTCTTCCTCTACCGGTCCTTGTTGCTGTCCTTGCTGCTGAGATACTTCATCATAATCATCTATATCCCAGTACCGATGCACTGGGTAGAACTCTCCTGTTTCCACTTGCACTGATCTCTCTGTAAGTATCGACTCATCTCTTTGGTGATTCCTGAAAATATACACATGAGTGCTGATAGTACTATTTACCATTGATCACTAATAAACTAGTATCATACAGGTTGTATATAAATAGTGTTTACATTCAGAAGTTAATATGTTTTGGAAATTGTGGTATTCCATTCGTTTTCGTGTAAACCCCGTCTGATTCATAATCCCAACAGATTTCTCAGGTATGCATGTATCATTATCATATTGATAACAAATGCATTTGTCCGAGATACCATGACAGATTACGGTCATAGTTCTAGAGTGCACATGGATTTGTCTCAAGATTGCTAAATAAGACATCATATTCTATGAAGTAACATTAACGTCATAAATTTAACATACTGTTTTCAGAATAATATTTTAAATACCAACCTTTCTGTAGTTTGGCGGCGACGACGAAAATGAAGCACAAGTATAAAAACAGTACAAACTATAAGAAGTACACATCCTGTCGCTAGTCCTGGTCCAAAAACATGCACGGTGCTTCCTGAAAAATATTAATTATAACTTAAATGTTGTAGCAGGCTGTGGAATCATTCAAATTCAGACCCAGCATGGGGTGAGGTCTGTAATGTACTTTCGAACAAATTATTCCTGAACAAATACTGTCTACTCAGTATCATTAATACTGAGATACGGCCAAATGGTGTTGTTTTACGGGCAAATGTTGTTGTTTCTAATAACTTAAGAAGGTAGGGACATGACTGTGTTTCATTTGATCTAATTAAACGTTTACCTTGAATACATATCCCGGAACTAGGATTACAAGCTCCTCCTGGGCAGTCTATGCAGGATAGTTGACAGAAATGTCCATATTGTCCTTGGATACACTCATTGTCGCAAGACCCGTTGTTTGGGTAACATGTGTAATTAAAACAGGTCCTCGGACAAGGCTTACAGTCACCCCATAGTAACCAGACAGGCACCCTTCAACACAGGCACCCGTCTCATTGCAACCCAAACAGTTTGGGTTACATTTATTTGGCGAGGAACAGTGTGGGCCAGACCAGTCATCTGCACAACCATTGATACACACTCCACTGTACCTTTGACATTCAGATATGCAGGTGTGGGAAGTATTGTTTGTCAAAGAGTCATTAGAAATAGTGGTAGGATTAGACAAACAATCTTTGTGGCACCTTAAAGAACATGTACGTCCATACAACCCAGGTGCGCATGTCTGTACACAACCAGTTGTTGAACAATGTTCACATGAGTATTCACAGTCTAGGCCATGATAAGGATCATGACACACGTCACATCTGCCTGTTATCCTGTTACACTGTCGGCATCTGGGTGAACAATTCTTGCAGTTGGTCCCATAGTATTGGTCATGGCATCCAGAAACACAAGATGTTGTCAGATCGCAGAACGTTCCATCACATCCTTGAGGACATTGTGTGCACTTTTTCTTCGTAAGTATGCACGGGATATTGCATAGAGTACCATAGAAACCAGGTACACAACCGTCAGAACAATTATAAGTGCCACGCAGCGTCTGACTACATTTACTGTTTATGCATTGGTCGCTGCAACGGGACGTGCACCTGAGGCCGAAATACCCCGAAAAGCAATCTGTGCTGCAGTATTGTGTTGTACTTGAGCAGTTTGAGCACTGTTGGCCCTCCGTGCACTTATCCGCTGTAAAGAAGATTGGTCTATTGTAGACAAAAATCATTTCGTATGTCTGAATACAAGTTTAGATAAATGTTCATATTACTGATTTATGCCCCAGCAGTGCACTCGAAATTAACTCAAGTCAACAAATTAACTAAATTGACAGAATACATGAGGCCAGAAATATGTTCACACTATTAAAAAGACTGGTGTTCACTGTAAAACACAGAATGTCATTCGTCTTTCCGACAAATGTAAATATTTTTGTTTAACTGAAGCAAAATACCCAATGAATATAAAGTTACCTTGTGTTGACAAAGCGTCAGTGCTACAATCAGTATCACCCAAATGTCCATCGCTGTCCTGAAACCATCATAACACAACATTTAATTAAAGTGCTGTGAAATTAAGCCTCAGATTTATTGGTTTCGTGATTTCAATTATCAGATAAATGAGAATGTCATATCGACGGGTGTGCGATGGGTGGTGTTCAAATACAAACGTACCTGTCCACTGAGTTAAGCTTCAGCTGTGTGGGCACATGGGAGATGAAAACACTACTGAACTGATGTTTCTGGTGTTCCTGGCTACACTGAGCAAGTGCTACGTGGACGTCGTGGTTTCAGTGTGGTTTCAACTTCCCGTGGCCAAGGTCGGAAAACAGCCAATATGTGCCTCATGCATACTAATACAAACGGTTTGTGTAATGATGACATTGATATCACGGACATGCTCTCTGCATCCATTCCCAGATGTATTATACTCGTACGACACATTACATGACAGTCTCTGGACATATTTTACAGTGGCTTTGAGTAGCATAATTGTATAATGGTATATGTCGCCCAGTCGTCTTAGGTAAAACCTGATTTTTATTTCCTAATATAGTTTCGTTTCCGTCAAATGTGATAAACTAGTTGAACAGAACCTGGTATCAGAACTATTCATGGAGATATTTTAATACATCTTATAATATAATATATAATATAATATAAGAAAATGGACATATACTTATTGAGTGATACAGGACAGTGACATAGAAAACACTGTCGAAATGGAAATTGTCGAATGGAAGTGGAGGTGGGACGTAGCGAATGACATGTGCAGAAAGGTCAAGGTCACAGATTAGTCACTATCTTCTGTGACCACCATTAGCATCAATGGTTGCCTTTTCCCACTGGATCAGATTCCGGATGAACTGTCTAGAAATGTTCTGATATTCTTCTCACAAAGCCAGAAACAAATCTGACCACTTCCTGTACGTAGTTGGAAGCATACCGTTCATGACGCCGTGTGTACACACGTGCTCTTCCGTCAGGACGCTTGAGCATATACCGCGACTCATCACTGAACACGACACTTCTCAACCTTTGTAATGACCACTGGAGATGGTTTCGACACCATTTTTCTATGTTGTTGCGGATTGTGTCGTGTGAGGATAGGTCCCCAGCAAAGGTCTCCTAGGACGAATACCAGCCTCACGTACGCGGCTCCTGACAATTTGGTAGGAAGGAATCCTGGCACTGAAGATGTTGAAGAGGATTCTGTCGTAAACCTGTTCCGTAAGTGTCAAAGACGAATAAACCTGTCCTGGCCAGCTAATGACACTTCACTGCTGTACCCCTACTCGATGTCAATGAGTGCAGACAGTAAAACCCTTGTGGGCCTTTTTGGTTTACTTTTGTGTTTACAGTGTCGATACCACCGTCGGTTTCTAATGAATTCACGTGCTTCAAATATTCAATAACATCCGGAAATTGGCCAACACATGATGTTTATCTCCTAATTCGAACACTCAGTCCTTCATTCCTAGAACGCAACATCAAACCCAGACATTTGGAAATCAGATATGGCCATGTTGATGTATGCTTTGTCTCTCACATCTTTACTGTATCTTTACTCTGTGAAGAGTTTAAGGGTCAGCAGCCACATAGCTGGAATATTGTTGAGTGCGGGATTAAGCAACAACAACAAAATGGTAGTCTTTTGAAGATCCTCACCATTATGTTGTCTGTGAACTTCCATGCAGCTGTAGGAGTTTAGGTGAGCACATTTTCTTGTTACATCATTATAACCAAAGTTATTCACAACATAATTTTCTTGCTTTTTATAATGAGCGTATCCCACTGCCTGATCCGTTGTGTCCTTCTTTTTGCAAGATGCCTGGTCTCGTAATGTCGAGGACACTTTTATCGCGGGTTTAGTATCCAGTATTGATGAGAGCAGGTTATGTTTTCGCTTCTCTGATTCTTCTCTTGTTGTATACGGGTGTAGTATCCAGTATTGATGAGGGAAGGTTATGTTTTCGCTTCTCTGCTTCTTCTCTTGTTGTATACGGGTGTAGTATCCAGTATTGATGAGAGCAGGTTATGTTTTCGCTTCTCTGATTCTTCTCTTGTTGTATACGGGTTTAGCATCCAGTATTGATGAGAGCAGGTTATGTTTTCGCTTCTCTGATTCTTCTCTTGTTGTATACAGGTGTAGTATCCAGTATTGATGAGGGAAGGTTATGTTTTCCTTCTCTGCTTCTTCTCTTGTTGTATACGGGTGTAGTATCCAGTATTGATGAGAGCAGGTTATGTTTTCGCTTCTCTGATTCTTCTCTTTTTGTATACGGGTTTAGCATCCAGTATTGATGAGAGCAGGTTATGTTTTCGCTTGTCTGCTTCTTCTCTTATCAGTCTTTGTCTTCGTCATCGTCTGGTCCAAACAGATGGCATTTGGCCATATCTGCTTGTACGTAGCCGACTAGATAGCAAATTCGTTTCTTGTTTCTTAGTGTCCAACATCACTAGACCAGATATACATTATTCGAGGCAAGCGTCTCACGAGTTGGTTCTTGTTCGACGCATCAATGAGAGCAGTCCTGAGTGTTGTGCGTACGTTTGGACGTTGACGTATTCGTCATGAGTTGGCCCATGTTCTTCCACGTATCAGTGCCCACCAGAGAAGTCCCAGAAAGTTATCTAAAAGAAATCTTAAAGAGGGAGCACTATGCCGTGGCAGGGTGTTTCGCTTGTTTTGGGGAACAAGGTCACTATCCTGGCATATGAGCATTATCATCGTGAAATATGAAACAATGACATGAACAGCGAGCAATAGCACAATAACTATTGGGGGTTTCAATGATGCCTACATGAGCAATTTGGGGCGCAGTACAGTTTATTGTGATCCCAGCACAATCATGCTGCACAACGTCAAAGACCACAAAACACTCATTACAATATCTCCAGACTCGATTCGATTAGCCATGAATATCGAGATTGAACCCGGTCTCGCCAGAACACATGACGAACGTTAATTATTCCAGCAGTGGCGCTGCCCTCATTACTGACACATTTGATTCAGTTGACGTGTAGGAAGTTGTTGGATGATACGTGGACGTCGTGCACACATATGTCACCTGTTGCAAGTGATCACGTACCTCATGGGCATAACCTCTTACAGCAGTTACCTTTTGCAACCGGACCCTTACCTGTGTTTAGTGAATGTTGATAACCGATTTCTTTTGATGGTCGTTGTGTTAACCGGTTCTGAAATAAAACTTATCTAAGTATGTATCTTGGTGAGTTTATATCGTAATCTGGAGTTTGTAAAACTACTTGAGATATCATTTCCTAAATCTTTAACTTAAAAATTCAAAAATCATTTGTAGCTGAACAGAAAAGCGCTTTATCTTTTAATTGTAATATTGAGGGTTGTTTTAACGAGAAATATGTCTGATTGGTTTTAAGCAGATTTATCATTGCTGCTTATAACGGGTGTTCCTCTTTGCCAGTCGGGCAAGTTGTTTATTTAGGGATTAAGAGGATAACCAGACCATGTTAATTAGCAAGACAATGGTGGGGATAACGGATTCGATTATTTACAGACCGTCGCCATACAAATTGAATATTGCAAACTAACAAATATACTGAGTAAACAAAGAAACTACACATTCTTTCTTCAGGGCACTATAACAGTCACAAGAATAAAATGCAAAATTTCTCAGTTCAATATCGTGTATGGCCGCCCCGCGCATTCACCACTGCCAAACACCGTCTCCTCATCGACTGCCTGATGCTTGTGAACACGTGGTTGGGGATTCTGCGCCATTGTTCTTGCAAGGCAGCACCAAGTTCCTGCAAATTCTGAGATTGGTTCCTAAGACCACGAAGCCTTCTCCCAAGTGCATCCCAAACGTGCTCTATTGGATTAAGGTCAGGGGACCTCGATGGCCAGTCCATGACGTTGATTCCAGCGTTTTGAAGGAAATTTCATGTCAACATCGCGGTATGCGGCCGAGCATTATCATGCTGGAACTGTAGACCTGGGCCATGAGCCGCCATGAAAGGAACGAGTTCAGGGGTGAGCACCTGGTCGCGGTAAGCAGCAGCTGTGAGGTTTCCACGGATGACCAGAAGTCGGGAACGGTTGTTCCCACAGAAAGCACCCCACACCATGCAACTTCCGCCCCCGAATCTGTCGACTTCCTGTACACAACATTGGGCATACCGTTCACGACGTCGTCTCCAGAATCTATGCCTGCCGTCCGCGAATCTGAGGGTAAACCTGGATTCATCGCTAAAGACGACTCGATTCCAGTCTCTCTGGGTCCATCGGAGGTGACGTTGGGCCCACAGCAGACGTTGACGTTGATGAAACGGCGTCAATATTGGGCCACGATATGGACGTCGAGAATGGAGATTGGCAGCCCGCAACCGATTTCGAATGGTCTGTGAGGACAGTCGACCTCTAAACATCTCAGCCCTGGT